AGCGATGTGAAGTCTAATTTTTCTTTGCCTCAAAACTCTACTAGTTTGATACTACAAATCAAATTTACCATTTTTGACTTAAAATTAATTTTCAAATGGTAATTTAACCAAATTTCACTCTTTCTATTTTAATAATATCTAAGACAAACTTTACAAAGCAAGGCAGGTGTGTATAAATAAGATCTGACTGAACAATCCCTTTTCTTTGTTACAAGCTATCACATTCCTTCTTAAAATGTGTGAGACATTTCTTTGGAAGCTGTGGACATTATCTACACTCTGGAAGGTCTCCAGTGGCTAGCATGGTCGGAGGAGTGAGACATAACAGCTGGACACATTTGCTCAAATGGCTACTCTTAGGGGATCCAGCTTTTGGTTTCTTGGAATGAATTACAAGACTATGACACTCTAATCGGTGAGTGCATTGATTGAATGATTAATAGAAATTTGAGCTGAATTTGGAAGATAAGCTACCGACCAGGGCTGTGCTGAAGGTTTGGGCAGATATGTGGACTCACCCAGCTTAGCAGTACCAGAGGCAGACAGATTAAATGTCAACACTTCCAGCTAACCTTGGCAGATGTTAGCAACTTGATGTCCTACAGCCATGATGTAAGCCGGAAAGAATGGTGTTTTGCAATAGAGAGATTCCGGTAACCCATCCTATGTGTGTGGGTTGCAGGATATCAATATTGATATCACTCCACAAAGAATATGTAGCATTTGGTAGCTCAGAGAAGTTAGATGGCTTATCCAGGGTCTTTCTGCAGAGAATTATTTTCCTTATGTTTAACATCAAAAGTGTAAATTGTTTATGTAAGCTCTTATTTTCTAAGAAAAAAAATCAGATATAAGCAGAATAAATGGGAATCTCCTTGATGCCATCAAAATGGACAAATCAAAATTAAAGGACCAGATTTAAAAAAAAATCATTTTATTGTGGGCTCATACAGCTCTTAATCACAATCCATCCATCCATCCTGTGTGACAAGCACATTTGTACACTTGTTGCCATCATCATTTTCAAAACATTTTCTTCCTACTTGAGCCCTTGGTATCAGCTCCTTAGTTTTCCCCCCTCCCTCCCCTCCCCTCCCTTCCTCATAAACCTTTGATAATTTATAAATTGTTATTATTTTTTCATGTCTTACACTGACTGATGTCTCCCTTCACCCATGTTTCTGTTATCTGTCCTCCTAGGAGTGGGTTATATGTTGATCATTGTGATCGGTTCCCCCTTTCTCCATCCACCATCCCCATCATTATTTATCTGCTCCTGGTACTGCTTCTCTCATTGTTGGTCCTGAGGGGTTTATCTGTCCTGGATTCCCTGTGTTTCCAGCTCTTATCTGTATCCATGTACATGCTCTGGTCTAGCCAGATTTGTAAGGTAGAATTGGGATCATGATAGTCGGGGGTAGGAGCATTAAAGAACTAGAGGAAAGTTGTATGTTTCATTGGTACTATACTGCCCCACCCCCCACCCCCCGACTGGCTTGTCTTTTTCTTGTGATCCTTTTGTTAGGGGGTGAAAGGACCAGATTTGTATTGTGCTAGGAAATCCGAAATAGATGGAAAATTTCCAGCTTTTCCTTTTCAAACATTATAAAATATATCCATATATAAATATCATTCTAGAGAAGATGATACAAAAGCAAAATAACTGAAATTTCTTTTTTATATACTTACCTGCTCTAGGATGTATGGGGTTATAGTGTTTTTTCCAGCCTCTTTGATGCTCCAAAGTGCTAAATAGTTAAGCATCCATGAGTAGTCATGTCCTAAGAATGTCTGCTACAGTCCACAGTATACTGTATTTTAAAGAACTGAATAATAGACTCAGACAGGAGACAAAAGTTGGGAATGAAAGATAATGATGAACCCTTCAACTAGTACAATTTAAGCAAAAATACCATAAAGATGTCATTATTTATCTGTTAAATTATGAACCCTACCTAATGATCCTTCAATTAATAGCTGAAACTGTAGCTCTGATACAAAGTCTTTAATGATAAACACCACTCCCCACCTCCCCACATACACCACCACCACCACCACAAGGTCTTTGTAAAGTATAAGAAAACTTAGACAATACAAAGAATGCATTTATCATTTAAGTTCTGATTATACAGATACATTTTACTAGATATATTTCTAGCTTCCTAAAAATGCCAGAGATTCCTAATTGCAAAAAATTGCTGTAGAAGTTATCAGATCACAAAATTATTTTGTGAGACAAAACATAAACTGATGGCGGGCCATTAATCACAATCTCTGGTTCCACAGAATCTTACCTGGTGGATTTTATACTAGTAGGGCATGTTGTGCTATGGTTTAAATGAGAAAGAAGAGAGAGAGAGAGGCTCGCCTTTTTTGGTGGGTGGTGGAGTTACTTTTTCATTTGAGAATTGTCAGTCTTTTTCTGGTGGTGTTCGGATTTTAGTTATGCTGTGTTTACAATTTGTAAGTATTTCTAGGCTGCATTCTACCCTGTTAGGCTATTACTTCTGAGACCCTAGCATGCATTCCTCTTTCAGTTCGGCAGGGTAAAGTCTGTCCACTGCCTCCTTCTATTGCCTTAATTAAGTTTAGTTGCTTCCTCCTGGCATCTCCCCAGCTTTCTTACATCTTTTTTTAAATGCTCAGGAAGAGCCTAACTTTCTAGGTGTGGTCCCTGGAGTCACTGGGAGGAACCTTCACCTCCCCACTGTTTGGTGTGATGTAACCTTTGCACAGTGAGTGAGGACAGGCGGAAAGTGCTGATGTGTGATGATACATTTCCATTAAATTCCTTTGAAGAAAAGCAAGGCATCTGCATACCATCTATGCGAAGGAAAGCAGAATGTCAAGCTTTGATTCAGCCGTGAATGAAGAGTCATACTATTATACCTGAAAGACTCGTTACCAGATTCACAACGCAAAAAACGAGAACTTCGATCCTCTTTTAACCAGTCTCATGATCAAAATTGTTTTGCTTATCTACAGCACAGTGAAAAGAAGGTTCTTTGGTTTAGGTAGAATCCAAATAAAGGAAATAGCACACTATCATTCTTTGACTTCTCTTTTTAATTTTCTTTATAAACAAATTCTTAAATTATAATTTTACAAAGCAAATAGTAAAATAGGTGCCTAGAGTAATATGTAAAGGTGTATTTTCAGGTTAGAGGTGGAAGTAGGGGTGAGAATTAGTGTTTGAAAAGAATCTCATCTACAGGGTTTGGAATCTTTTCTATTCTCCCACTGCCAAATTAAAAAAAAACGTAAATCATGAAACCTAAGCTTAAGGAACTTAAGGGACCTACAAAGAACTACTTGAATTATGTGGCAGAAATAAATTATGTCCACTATATCTCCATTTTCTTTATATATATAGAAAGCCTAGCATCAAGTATTCATAAATGATAAAGAAAATTTCCACTTGGAATGTGACCTCGTGAAAAATTCTCATGTTCACTTTTTCTGTTTCTATTTCACCCAATCATGGAGTTTTATTCATTCAGAGAATTCTATTATTTTGGCTCAAATGGAGAGTCACAAGTTCATTCCACTGACGATAGCACATGCTGATGAACGAGCGCGCTGGGGTCCAAGGCGTCCAATCAGAACTGGTGTCCTCCATTCAGAAAAGTTTGTCTACTCTGAGCTCAGCAGTCAGATAGCTCTCATTGCTTTCAAATGTCTTTCGCTCACTGATGAAGGCTAAGCAGGGTCGTGGCAGGCAGAGTACGATCTGTGTTTACCACGGATCTTGGATTTTCGGCTCTTCTGCGCCGTTGGCTCCACTCTAGCTGCCTGAATACCGACTTCATCACACATTTTGACATCACACTCTTCTAGACACTGAAACGACAGCATGGATGGGACTGTTTCTTGAGTTTGAGTAGATTTAGAGAAGTCAAAGCCCACGGCTGTAAAGTTGGCTCTCACTCAAAGTGACCCGACAGGACAGGGGAAAGCTGCCTCACAGGCTTCCGAGACTACAGATCTTTACGGAAGCCGATGGCCACACCGTTCTTCCAGAGAGTGGCTGGTGGGTTTGATCCGCTGTCCTTTAGGCCCCTAGACTTAGAGAAGCCCCATCTAAATTGTCTAAACCCTTGTAGCAAGCACAGGAAGAAGCCAAACGACATTTCTTTGGCTTGCTCCAAGGTTGATCAACATTCCCATGAAAATGACATGTCATGGTCAGAAGCCTAAATTCAGTCTTCCCACAGGGAGAATAATAATCACACAACCACCACAAGCCTAGAGAAGGGCTGTGAACTTGACTTCTGTCACTGTAGCTTGTTCGATCGACTGCCATGGCACCCTAAGTAGCGCAAAGTGGAACGACCAACGCTGGATTTTTCCCCTCTCATTTCATTGTCATCCCAACTTCTTTGCCCCGCCCACGTCTAGGCAGCTTGGGAAGTTCTGTTATGTCATCTGAAGATTTCTGCTTTGGACCCACTGACTTTTACAAATGTTTTGATGAAATATTCTTCCAAGGGCCTCACAGCGATCTCCTTCTGGAACAGATGCTCTGAGGTGATTTCCACTTGGCTGACTTCAATTTTAGGCACCTGAAAGAGAGTATTGATTTCCATGTGGATTTGACTGTTGTTTGTATAGATTATGGTGGATTATATAAATGTGCTGGTGTAGCATTTACTTTTGGTACTCCACCAACACCCCCTTACCCTTCGGTAGACCCATCCCTCAGCACTTGTGAGTGTGCAAAGGCTTACAGTACCATACATCTCCACAGCATTCCCCTGACCAGTGAGTCTCTTGCCAGTAGCTTCCAGGATTGCAAGGTCCTCAGGTCCCTGAGTAGCACAAATAGTTGAGCACTTGACTTCTAACCAAAAGGTTGGTGGTTCAAATCTCCGCTGAGGCCTTTTAAAGGAAGGCCCAGGAGATTTGCTTCCAAAAGGCCACACCTTGACCAACCTATGGAACACAGTTATACTCTGCAACCCATGGGGTCAGTCAACTGGAATTGTCATGATGGGGCACTGGTTTGGTTTTTGGTTTTGGCCCTCAACCCTATCAAGGGATCCTATGGCCAATGACTGATCGATATGGGGTGCTAACACTAAGACCTCTTGCCTCATTGGGATAAGCTTGTGATGCCATTCACGGTCTAGATCTTCTAGTGGAATCAGCTACAGCTACCTCTTTGCTTCATTTCTTTCTCATCTCTTTTCTTACATCCTAACAAGTTTCACCCTACAGCCTACCATTTATTGATCACTTGTATCTCAGGCTGTGCTTCCAAGGAATCTGACCTCAGCCAGCTAGCTTATTAGTATTAAAAGGTTTTATTTCTTATTTTATTTTACTTATTTCTTGGTGCCATAGACTCCAAAATGGGTAGCATATATTTGATTCTTTTAGAGATTTAATTGTTAAGCCAAACAATTTCCTATAGGCAATCTTGGTCATTTAAAAAATGACAAGCTAGTTAACAGAGTTATTGTTAGTAACAAGTCATTTCTGTCTCCTAGTGATCCTATGTACAATGGAATGAAACGCTGTCTGGTCCTGCACTTATTGATCTTCTTCAAATAATCGCTGCAGCCTCTGCATCAATCCATGGCATAGAGTGCCTTCTTTGTGGCTGACCCTCTAGTCCACCAAGCATAATAGGCTCCATCAGGGACTGATGACATGTCCAAAATACATGACACAAAGTCTCACTATTCTCTCTTCTAAGAAGTCTTTTGGCTGCATTTCCTTCAAGATAGTTCTGTTCATTTGTCTGACAGTCCATTCTGTGTTAATTCAAATGCATCAATTAGCTTCAGTTTTCTTTATGCATTGTCCAACTTTTATACACCTATGTGGCAACTGGGAACACCTGACAGTGTCAGGTGTGCCTTAGCCCTCCAAGTAACAGCTTTGCTTTTTGACATTTTACAGTGTTCTTTTCCAGCAGATTTGTCCAATGTAATACGTTGTTTGATTCCTTAAATGCTGCTACCATAGGCATTGATTGTGGATCCAAATAAAATGAACTATTTGACAATGTCAGTATTTTCTCTGCTCATCATAATGTCATTTATTGGCCCAATTGTGAGAATTTTTGCTTTCATTAGTTTGCCGTGCAATATGTACTGAAGACTTTAGTTTTCTTTCGTTGTCAGGAAGTGCTTCAAGTCCTATTCACTTTCAGCAAACATCTTTATCACTCAGAGTTAACGAGTCCTTCTACAATCTCGATGCCACGTTCTTCTTCATGTATACCCATTTCCTCAAGTGTTTGCTCAGCATAGAGATTAAATCCATATGGGGAAAGGATATTTCCCTGCTGTACACCTTCATGACTTTAAACCACGCAATATACCCTCGTTCTGTTCTAATGGCTGTCTCGTGGTCTATGCACGGGTTCCACATGAGCACAACCATTTTGGAATTACAATTATCCACAGTATTACCCATTTGGTTAGGGACCATGCTGTCTAATACCTTCGCATAGCCAAGAAAACACAGGAAAACCTCTGTTTTGCTCTGCTTTCAGCCAAAACTTTTCAGCAATGATATCCCTGCTTCATGACTTCTTGTGAATCCAGCTGAAATTTTTGACAGTCCCCTGTGGTTGTACTGCAGCAACCATTTTGAAGTTGTCTTCAGTAAAATTTTACTGAACCAAAATTAATTGTTGAGTTATAGTCACCCAATAGCAGAGTAGAGCTTCCCCGTTGGATTTCTGAGACTTTAAATATTTACCAGATCAGAGCCAGCCTCATCTTTCTCCCTCCCAGTGAGTGGTGGGTTTGAATCACTGACCTGGTAGTTAGCAGTTCATTGCATACTCCACTACACCAGCAGGGTTCATGTTAATTGGGTATAATTGAATGGCCATTTTTCTACAATTCCTGCATCCTGTTGGATCCGCATTTCTTTGAAATCAGCAAATACAAGAATCTGTGGATTTTTTCTAGTTAGTCTTCTTAATTCCATGGCATAGAGAAATGACCACTCAAGCTCTGTATCCATTTGTTGAAACATTTCAACTTATATTTCATCAATTCCAGGAGTCTATTCCCCACCCCCCATGCTTTCAGTGCAGCCTGGATTTCCTCCCTCAATGCCATCTATTCTTTATCACATGCTACCTCGATCAGTGGCTGAACACTAACCAATTCTTTTTAATACAGTGACTGTGTATTTGTTGTATTGTTTTTTATGCTTCCTGCATAATTTAATATTTTACCCGTAGAATCCTTCAATATTACAACTCAAGGTTGATTTTTTTCTTCCTTTCTTTCAGCTTGAGAGAATGCTGTCTTTAATTCAGGTCTTCCATTTCCAGGTTTTTGTATTTTTTAATTTAATATTTCATTTTATCTTCTTCATTTCTTCCTTTCACTTTAGCTACTCTATGTTCAAGAGTAAGTTTCAAAATCTTTTCTGACAGCAGTTTTGGTCTTTTCTTTCTTTCCTGTCTTTTTAATAACTTTTTTCTTTCTTAATACAGTGAATAAAGAATAGTAGGGGAAATGAATTTGTTCTTTCTCGTTAATTTACATATCGTTTTTTCTTGACTTTTCCCTAGTTACATGGGTTAAGGAAGAATACCACTGTAGAAAAGACAAAAGTAAGTAGTAATCTGTAAGTGAGTTACATCTGTTAGTAGATCAAGTTTATCTTTTTTAGGTTTTAACAGGAAAAAAGTATCTCCTGAAGATACTTCGATTGTTGTCTGGAAAAGAAAGTGGCTCATGCTTTTCACACATTCTTATTCACTTAATACTTATATCTTGAGTTGTTCATTCAACAAATCTTTGCTGTGCCTTGTTGTTGTTGTTGTTGTTATTGCTGTGTGCTGTCCAGTTAACACTGACTCACAGGAAACCTATATGACAGAGTGGCACATTCTCAGAGAGTTTCCCTCGGTAGCAATTTTTATGGGAGCAGAACCCCAGGTCTTTTCTTCCTGCAGAACTTCTGATGGGTTCAAACATCCAACCTTTTGTTTAGCAATGAGCTTAGGTACTGAGTATATGATTAAGAGTAAGGCAACGGTAGTCCCTTTCCCATGGGCATACTGTCCTTTTCAGCAATAGCTTTGATGTAGGCAGAGATGAGGATGAAGGGAATTTGCAAAGTGAGTGTATCTGAGTGCAACTGAAGGCATATTTTTACCAGTTCTCTGAGTTTGAGAGAAAAGGCATCAAAACAAAACAAATATGCAAGCTTTATATCATATTTTCAATAAAAATCTACACATGCCAATGCCTGACTCATTGTAAAAACTTAGTAAATGTTTGTTAAATAAATGAGTGCTATATAAACTTCATATCTTATATTTTTCATACCTTTTTCTTGTGTAGCAATACAACATAGCAAGAAAACTACTTAATAGTAATCCAACACCAATTCCAACTGCAATATATTTTTCATAAGAGTCCACCATGTATGACGTTAAAGTCAGGTGTTCACACCTTTCTCCAGTATAGCCGGTAAAACACCTTGAAATAAAGGGAAGAAAATGAGGCATAATTTTAAAATCCATGACAGTGGAAGTACACTAAAATGCCCAGGTTCAAAGAATGAAAACCATTTTGCTTACAAAAGTAAACAATTTGAGTAAGACAGCCAAATACCAAATGAAAGTCAATCTGTAAGGGGAATTGGGTAGCTATTGTTTTATACTAAATATTTCATTGAGCCCTCATAGTAACATGTCTTTGATCAATAGATGGGAAAGGTCGTATGGGTGCATGAAAATGGTCTAGGAAATCCTTAGCATCCTCTTTCATAGGAGGGTCTGAGCGAACTGAAAAGTTGGTGAATTGAATTCACTCTGAGGCACTCAGACCGAGGGTCTGGTTTCTGATTCTGAAAATCGGTCACTGGGAACCCTACACAGTTCTCCTGTGCTGCTCCTATGGTCAGGATGAGTTGGAATCAACTCAAAAGCAGCTGGTTAATTTTTCTATAGAACTTTAAATTCCCCCAAGTGTTTTGCCACAATCCATTTTATTCCATTCTACAAACACTCCTGTGAAAACTTTAGATCCAAGGCAGGACATTGAGACATAGGAGAGTGTGGGGCCAATAGCACCAAAGCAAGACGGAAGTGCTAATCCCTTGGGGAATTTGAACCCTGGGAGTGTCATAGCAAGATGAATATATTATGATTTTACTGTTGGGACAAAAAACTAATACACAAACAAACACAACACTCACTCCTGTCTCTTAAGGTGAATTTGTCTTGATATTTTAAATGTTCAATATGACAAGGGGTGTCCCTGAGTGTGTTGTTTAAATAAGAATTCTGATTCAGTAATCATGGGGTGGAGCTCTGCTAAGCCCCCAGGTTTCACAGATGTGGGAACCACACCAAAAACCATATCAAGTTCAGTGCCATTCAATCGATGCCAACTCATAGTGACCCTATAATACAGGATAAAACTGTCTCTGTGAGTTTCAGAGACTGTAACTCTTCATAGGAGGAGAAAGCCCGGTCTTTCTTCTAAGGAACAGCTGGTGGTTTTGAACTGCTGAGCTTGCAAATTGCAGCCCAGCATGTAACCACTACTCCACCAAGAGACATAAACTCACTTTCTCCTATCTTTATAACCCAAACAATTCTTTAGAGTTACCTGCAGATAGCTTTCTCCAGCTCATGGTGGAATGCACAAACGCCATTGATGCAGTAACTCTTGTGGTCTTCTAGGCAAAAGGGTGACAACTTCAAGGCTATAGGTCCTTCTGTATGGTCAGCTAGAAAGGAGAGCCAGTTGTCACAGAGAAAGTGGTCACGTTACATGATCAATTCCTTTTAAAAATAAATCCTTTTATTGGGGCTGTTACAGATCTTATAAAAATCCACACATAAATTGTATCAAGCACATTTGTACAATGTTGACAGGGTGAATTCTTAACATTCATGTAAAGATAACTTCTTTTTTAAGAATTTCCTTTGGAGGCTCTCTCTTTGAACTACTGTTCCCCTTGACATGTTTTAATCACAGGGATGGAAGTCATATCATCCAGACATATCATTAACCAAGTAGAGGGTGGAGGTGGATCGATGACTGCTTCATTTTTCAGAAGCTACATAATAAGGTATAGAAATACAAGTTTGCCAAAAGGTGGCAGCATTGATTCTAGTCTCCACAGGCCATTGTTAGCAATACTTTCCAAATGTTCCCAGAGAAATCTTTCCACTCACCCCCCCATTTTACCCTTGAGAATTCAGAATTTAGGAAATTTTAGATTTACATTTGTGAGATAAATAACCTAATTTCTCTTTCATTCTCAGTGAAGGGAAGGATGATAATGTCTTCCTTCTTTTCCACTGCTCCAAGCTGCAAACCAAACCCGCTGCCACAGAGCTGCTTCTGTCCCATAGGACCCTAGGGAGGGATTCCGAGGCTGTAAATCCTCACAGGAGCTTCAAGCCTTTCTGTCTACCAAAGGGTCGTTGGTGGGTTCAAACTGCTGATCTTATAGTTAGCACTAAGCCATCCATGGCTCTTCAAATGGAATGCTTTCCTTAAAATGACTTCAGAAGAATTATTATGGTCTGGGCAGGAGATCAGAAGCAACATATGGTTCAAGCATGACAGTTAAAGTTATTTTAAGACCCTAATAAATTTTGTTTCTAAATTGATAGATAATGGGAAGACAAAGCAAAACAAAACAGTGGATGACACATTTCCTAAGTGAATCTTTTGAAAATTAAAATGTGCTTATGAAATGAGGAAATTGCCTCATTTACTTAAATATTACTACCCTTCATAGTCCGACACATAATATTTGGCTTGATCTTTTTGATATGTCCAACTTTACATCAGGGGCATGATACGGTCTGCTCGCATGAGATTCATAACTATCTAACAAACAGGTCTTGGCAGGTAACACGCTTTCTAAGTTCACCTGTAAGAGTTCAAACCGGTTTGAAAATATGCTGATGCTCTCAACAGCAGCCAAGTGTCATTGTAATAATAATTATAAAATAGAAAAGAAAACATATCATCAGCAGCAACAACAAAAATTGGGTTACAGGTGGTTAGGAAATATTGTATGTGTTTTTTAAAAAAAAGCCTTTTCCTTCCCTGTTCCCCAAAGAAACACAAACATACACACACCAGAATTAAGTATCTCCAATGATGATGAAAAGTGAATGAATGCTTCATTCTGTGTCTATAATTTCTTTGGTTAGAAACAGGCAGTCCCAGACCACACTATGATGTGACTCATCAAGAAGCTCAACAGGCAGGTCTGCGCCTCTGGGAACCAAGCAGGGATCAAGTGTGGACCCTTCCACATCAGGACAATAACTGAGGATGGATGTTGTTTTCCCCATGGTCTACTTTCCTTCTGCTTAAAAAGGCAATTATTTGATGACTCTTTACCTATCATTCCCATTGAACAGCATCCTCTGAAAAGAGTTGACTATATGATGTGAACTTATATATTTAAATTTTGATAAGATTGCTCTTTTTGAACTCTAGAATTCACACAAAGGAAAAAAAAATCAAGCCACGTGAGTGACAAACGTGCAAACAATATACCTTCTGTTGTGTTCACTGTTTCATTACTTTGCTGGACGGTGACTGGTGGGGTTACAGGGATGATTGCCTCTTCAGTAAATGCTGCCATCGCTGTCATCACACAAGGAGAGAAGTCACTGCTAGCACACAAGCCTCCTTTAATGCACAAGCCACAGGTCCAAGGGTGCTCTTTTTCTATATGTTCCATTTCCTGCACTATTTTTTAACTCACTAACATTGGAAAATGGACTAGGGCAATCTGTTGCTTCTCATTTATAAAAAGTCTGTTGACATCTAAAAGAACTACAGATTTACATTTTTTTTAAAAAAGAAGAAACACACAAGTTTTAACAGAAATTGAACCCACTTACATATAATTCAATCACCAGGACACTCTCCTGGTCTGGTTAAATGTATCAACTGCTCTTCACGTGCAGAAGGAAAATATTTCAGAGAGCTCAAAGAGATGGCAAACGCTCTCAGAAGAACATACATTGCATAAGAAACTGAGTGAGTGCAGAGATCCCTGCTCTGATCTTTGTCGTGAAGACAAATCTTAGAAGACAACTTCCCTCTGATTCAGAGACAACAAATCCTATTCTCGTTGTACACTGACTCAAAGGTAACAAAACAAGAAAAAGGCAATTACCTACCATTGAATAAAAGGCAGACAGATAGGGCAACTCCGAGAGCCATTTCCTGCAGTTGCTTAACAGTGTCTGTCTCTTATCCTTCTAGACTGACGGGTGGCAGGTTTTATTGCCCTAGCCGAGTCTTTCTTGCATTTATATTTCATGAAGCGTCATCTGGCAATTCTTACCAATCAAAAAAATATGTACATCTGGCAGTGGCAGTGAAGAGCCTCCAGGCGCTCACACACTTGTTTAGGATACCTGTGTTATCTAGCAATGTGATCAAGTTTTCTTTTGAAACACTCGTTTCCTGTTACCTGTGGGCATAATCATGTCTGTAAAAGAATTTAAAATAACAGAAAGAACCAGGAAAGGCCCCATTAATGTGACCAAAACTATACCAGCCCCAAAGATATCTAGGTAGGCTTCCAGCAAAAAAATTTTGATATTTGTAGAGAATAGTTTAACTTGGTAATTAAGGAATATCACCTGAAATTGGACTCAGTTATACTAACTCATTCCACATTATGAGGTCCATTGCAAATTAAGTTTGTTATTCAGTTGCTGTAAAAAACAATAGACTTGTATTAAAAACAAAGAAGCTGTAGATTTCATTTCTCTTTGTGCTAATCTTATTATTATATATTATGTAAATATAATTAATTTAATAGCATTTATTTTATGTCATGCCATTCATCTTTTATTTGCAGGGCATAGTATATGCTATCAAGTTCAGGAAACAATAATGTTTAAATGGTACCAAGTAATTAGAAAGAACCTGTAAAAGGGAAAACTAAATATGTATGTGCATATATGTGTATGTGTATATATAGGGGTACCCCCCCAAAACAGAAGAATGCTCTGCTGGGTGGAGCTTTTGTAGTATGCATTTTTCCCACTAGGCAAGCATCCGCCACTCACTGAGTTAGTGCACCAAGTGGCATCGCCTGGGAAGGTTTTCTCTGATCACAGTGAATTTTTTCATAAAAGCAGTTTTACTCAAACCTTGTGCTTTGTGATGGCCGATTTAAGAGAACAGAGCATGGCTGTGAAATTTTTCCTGCTTGGGAAAAATGCTGCTGAAATTGTTGTGATGTTGAACACAGCTTAACAAGACAATGCTGTGGGAAAAAGTCAAGTGTAAGAGTGGTTTTCTCATTTCAAAAAAGGTGAAATGTCAGTTGATGACATACCTCCTTATGGACATCATCCACTTTCAAACAGATGAAAAGATCAACCCAGAGTGCAGCAGGTCAGACTGTTGATCAAGCTTTCTATTTAGAGGCTCTGAATAGGCTGTGTAACAGTGTGCGAGAAAAAAAAGAAAAAGAGACCTAATTTCTGGCAGTCAGGGGCCTGGCTTTGTCAACACAACAATGCACCTGCTCACACAACCCTATCAGTGCACCACTTTGGGCAAAAAACAGCATGCCTCTCTTGCCCCATGCACCTTATTCAGCTGACCTTGCTCCATGCAACTTCTTTTTGTTTTCATGAATGAAGAGGGACATGAAAGGACAGCGATTTGACAAAGCAGAAGAGGTGAAGAAAAAAACAAGGGAGGTGCCGTCAGTTATCCAAACAGATGAGTTTGAAAAATGTTTCCAAGAATGGGATCCCAGTTTTTACAAATGTATTAATTATAATGGAGAGTAGTTTGAAGGTGATAAGGCTGTTCTGTAAAAACTTAAAATACACAGTTTTGAAAAAAAATCCATTTTTTTGGTACCTCCATATATATATGGTCTATGATTAATCCATATATATTTCATATACACATATATGTGTGAAGGAATAGCATTAAAACTATCCCTTAAGATAACATTTAGGCTTGGTACATCTAGTGTTCAGAACTTTTAAAAGTAGCTCAACATTCAAATAATTTTTCTCAAAGTTAATCAAGTTATAATTATTAAAGTGTCATTTTAGAGATCAAAACATGTAATTATTGCTCTTACTTTTTGCTTCTATTAAATTTGTTTGCCACAAAATTTCATAAATAATTAAAAATGTGTCTTCTGAAGTGTCATGCCTTTCTATCGGGAATCTCAATTGCTCATCTTTCCTCCACCTTGAAAACATGTTCAAGATAGGTTATCCTTTGCATCATGTCCACCCAGCAAATTAGATTTACCGGAAAGGATCCCTTTCACTATTCTTGTCTGAATTTGGCTTTAGAAATCACACAAGAATGAGCTTGTTTAACTCATTATAACTTGGGCAATGTTCTACCACAAGAGTCATCACTTTAAAGGTAAAAAAATGCATAGTACTTTAAGTGTGTCTACATTCTGTATTTCTACTGGTAAGTGTGGTTAATTTTTAACCTTAAGGCAGTTTCTGGATTATATTTTTCTCAGGTTAATGATATTTAAACTATTAATCTAATAACCCACTTTAGCACTGTTGGTGAAAATTTACAAATATTTCAACTACAAGAACTAAACAAGCCATCATACTTCCTTTTCCAACTTCTGATGGGAGATGCTAGGACTTGCACTTAATATTTTTTCTAAGGCTGGATGGAAGTGGTAGTATGATAATCATCTTTGTAATAACTATTAACTGATCCTTGGATAGTGCTTTGCATTTTACAAAGGATTTTTATGCATGTTGTCTCCATTCAATAATCTTAGCCCAAACAAATCCAATGTCTAACATAAAAAATGCTCAATAAATTTATCTTGAGCAGAGAAATAAAAAGTTACCATGCCTTCATATCATTCTCATATGGAAAGTAAGGTGGAGGGGGAGGGGCAGGTGGCAATGAAGGAAGTGACGTGTCAAAGGAAAACACCCCAAAAACGAGCCTTGCACCCTAACATCTAGATCCCAAAGCATATGCTCTTGTCATTCCTCTGGTAGGAGTAGGTATTCTGATCTCCGAAGAGGTCTCTTAGTTATCTCCAAAAATTATGTTTGCAATATGGCCTTTATCGGAAAAAGCTAAATATCAAATGAAATCTAGATTTGACACACATCTAGACTGAGAAAAATAGAGAACCATTGTTAACCAGGTGTTTCTTCTCTACATACCACATGGCATTTGTCATCATAAATATCACACTTAGGTTTGGGATGCAAAAGACAGATCATTTGTTCATATATTGTTGTTAGGTGCCAGATAGCTGGCTCCAGCTGTTAGAAGTCCTATGGAAAATGCAATGAAAAACTCTCTGGTCCTGTGCCAGCCCCCAAGGTTTTGTGATGTTTGAGCCCACTCTTACAACCAGTGTGTCAATCCATCTTGGCAAGGGTCTTCCTCTTTCTAGCTGCCCTTCCACCCCAGCAAGCATTTTGTCCTTTTCCAGGGGCTGGTCTCTGCTGACACATGTCCAAAGCCTCATTACCCGTGCTTCCAAGGAGCAGTCTGGCTGCACTTCTTCCATGATTTAGTCATCTAAGGTATATGTTAATGGGGTGGGGGGCAGTTTCTGGATAAGATTATTAAAATCAATAATAGAGAAGATTTGATTGAAGCTGCAGTCATGAAGGAAATTCCCACTATTACTTCTGAATTATTAGAAACTGTCAGTTCTTACCCTCCCCCAAAAAAAACACCCAATACCCCCC